CGGCGGCTTGTGACAATCCCGTGAAGAAATGCTTTTGTTCATTAACGGGTGGAGACGCCGCTGAATGTGGCTTCCTGTGCGTTATTCTACCTGTGGGATGAGGCGGTCCATCTGACTGGACCTGTTCCTGTGTGAGGGGTGTGTCGACAGCCACTCGGGTAAAGTGGGATTCCCTGTAAGCTTGTCTACAATTTCCAGCTGCTGCCAGAACACGGGGCCTGCTCGCACATCTGCACAAGCCTGGGAAAGACGTACACATACACACAAACAAACACATTTATCCATATACAATTCTTAATCAAAAAAATACACAAGTAGCACAGCAGTACACAAATGAAAAGCCTTTCTAAAGGAGCTTAATTTAGTTTGACAACAGTGCCCCCTTGTGCCTTGTTGGCAGATTACAAAGTGTTTCAACAAAAACATAGAAAATTATTCTACTTATTACCTACATTTTTTACAGTATACATTAAACTTCATGGAGCACCTTTCAAAGTTATTGAAAGATGTGTGTAGCTCAAGTTAGTATTTTGTAATAACAATAATAAATGGCTGGAATCTAGACTTTGCAGCAATATTGTAACTAGATTCAGGAATAATGTGAAACAAACTTAGTGATGTTACCTTGGCAGCTAAATGCAATCCAACTTGATCTGCCTCAGCTTCCAGTTTACGACTGTAGGGATGGTTGAATATCAGCTGCAAAAGTGAAAGAAGACAACTTTCACACACAACAATCCAAAAACACAACTATCACATTTCACAGTTTAAAACTGACGTAACTCTTGGACATTGTAATTTTTCCTACTACTCTCACTTTAGCTTCAACACCCTGTAGCTGCAAATATTCAAATGACTCAAACCATGAATAGTAATACCTCACCTCTATGAGCTTGTCCTTTGCCCACCCTCCCACCACCGCCAAGATGTCCCCAGGACACAGAGCCCAGATGGCTGTCACCACAATAAGAGACAGGAGGTCCACAACATGAGACAGGCTAGCCTGTTCTGCCTGGAGGGAGCGGGGCAGAAGATGAAACGAGGATGTCAGCAACAGCATATCAACAGCAGGAATAAGGTTAAAGAGAGAAAACCAGAGCTGAAAACTTTCTGAGGGGAGAGACGAGAATGGTGCAGCTGCAACATATTGATTGTTCTCATCTATTCCGCTGAATCACTTTGCGCTGCAACAGATTTAGAGGTTTTAGGAGTTTATCCATTACAGCGCGCTAACTTTGTAACTTCGAGGTCATCGACGTTCATTCCCCTTCAGCTAATTAAAATCTCCTCCGAGCGTTTCCTCCCAGGACGTCTACAGACTTGAAATGCCCAAAATGTTATTAGGCACTTTTAGAACAGAGTAAAGGGGGATTATAGAACTGCAGGGAAAACTGTTTCTGAAAAAGAAGTGAGCACTGATAAATCACTGCTAGACAGCTGTTTGGAGGGGACTGTCACAGAGTGGCAGCAAAATCTGATGCAAGAAATCCGAAAGTGGAGCCGCAGTCAAAACAAACAGACTCAGATGGAGCAGAGGGTGACATCCAGTCTAGGTGGTATTAATTGCTGCATCCCAAAGTGACAAAGTCATAGAAGACAATAAAAAAAAATTCAAGAAGCAACTTGAAATGGCAAGTTTACTCTTAAACATTTCAATTTGCAGTTCTCTTAACTTTTCCTCATATGTGAGGCCAGCTCAGGTCAGAGAAACTGTCGGCACAACAACTATTATTAGTCACATACTTCTCAAATTTTGCATGTATGAAAATGGCAACTAAATTAGAATTATATTTAAGAACGGTTTATAAATAGTGTCATTTCCTAGAAGGCATGACGACATGTGGGAAAGATACAAGAAACTGATTTCATTTTGCAGAACCTGGACATTGTAGCAACAGGAAAAAGGGGCAGTGACACTTGGGGAATTCAAGAACTTTGATCCAGTTCATATTGGTTTCTGGAAATATTTTTATGTCATTTTAAAATGTTTCCTAATTCACATTTATATGTTGTCCTATCAAAACAAATCTAAATAAACATTAAAACACATTCCAAATAAAAGCAATTAGATTTAATTGTTTTGACAAAAAGCAACACCAACTGCATGAGGTCGTGAGCTTACCGAATGGTCCAGAATAGCATGAGCCATTTCATGTCCAAGAACAATCATGAGCTGGTCCAGATCTGCCACGGCTCCCAACATCCCAGTGAACATAAACACTTTCCCATTCTACAAAAAGAAAAAAAAAACAGAACAAGCATCATCATAATGCATGCCTGAGCCACAAGCTGTACTGAAGTAACAAGGGGCATGAACAAGAAAAAAGTTTTGGGTCTGTGTCTCTTTTTTGACTCACTGGGAGGACAAAGGCATTGATTTGGGGACTTTCCACCACATGAACACTCCAGGGGACTTCAGACACTTCTGGGATGTCCTTGTTCCTTTGTGCTAGGAGCTGCACCGCTTGCTCCACCATCTGGTGAAGAGGGTCAGTGACGGGAAGAAGCAGCTCCGCAAACTCCTCCAGGTGCTGAAACACACGGTTACTTGTAAATACTTGTTTCGTTGTAATTCTCCGAGATATCATTTTCCCAGATATCATTTTCCCTTTGCAGATTATGAGGATCTGGGTAAAACTGCTACTGAGAATCACATTTCAGCAGGCCGAATATTTAACAAACAGTGTAGTGATTAGTGTCTGCCCTCGTTTCTCACCGCCTCTGAAGTCAGAGCAGCCAGCTCCAGGTATTTCTCCCTGCTGAACACCAGGAGGCGGATCCTCCCTGTCACTGGGGACTCATCCAGGTGTGTTAGGAGCAGAAGGCCCACGATCACCAAAGCAACTCCTGCTCCCGTCGCCAGATGCCAGCGGCGCCTCCGGAGCCATTCGTGCATGAGCTGTCGGCGATTGTCTGGTAGAGACCCCCACCATTTCCTTAGACTCCTGCCCAGAAAAGGGAGGAGAAACAGTTGGGTAGTGAGTTTAAAAATCACACACGGCCCAGTGGTACTCAGTACTACAAAGACTGTAATCGTTTAAAGCTTCCTTCATGTTAGAAAAACTGTCATCTCTCATGGCAGAGAATGAAAAACAAGGAGAATATAAAAGAGTTGTGGAAATACAGACTGAGATTAATCCTGTAATCTTCAAAGAGGCAACGGGAGGCCTGAGGGTCTGACGAACCCCCTATGTGGCAGGTTTTTAATGATCCCAAAGTGAGAACCAGAACATATGGTGCAGGTGCCTGGAATCACTTCCCTCAAGGCCTGAATAAAGCTGAGTTTGGATTTTATTTTAGTGAACTCAAACGGCATTGTTTTTTAACTCAGCATAAAGCAGGTTTTTGGGTTTTTTTAAGATAATTAATTAATCAACAAATAAGACACTCTGTTGCATATGTATGTTTGTATTATTTGTTTTACTTCATAATGCAAATGTCATTACATGACATCAGTGACTTATGTTTATTGTTTTAAGTAAATAAAGGATACCTTGTCACTTATTAGAAAATATCTAATCTACAGTTTAAGTCTGGAAAATAAAGTAATTTAAATGATAATGTGATTTTAGTCATTTCAAGTGAAAATGTATTCAGTTTCTATTGTTTATTTCCACTATATGGATTGTTCAGTATTGATAAGGTTAGGAAAACTTTGTTTGTAAAGCATAACTGAAGTCAGGAACAATAATACACTGTTTTAATATACTACCTGCCCAGTAGTATAGCCAGAAGCTTCTGCAGAGGTTTGAGGACCATCCACAGGAGGGGAGCAGGAAGAGCTCTCCTGGAGGTTGAGGTGTGGAAGTGGTGGCCCCTGGGTGTCTGGACGGAACCCGTCCCCGAACACACCGTCCGCACGTTGCCGCAAACTGAGAAAGACCGTCGAGTTGCACAGACTCTCAAATGAGACGAGGTTTTTGGAGAGCACGCTGAGAACGGGGTCTTCTTCAGAGGGAAGTCTGCTCGTTTACAGAGCTGGAAATGTCGAGTCAAGTTCATGTGGAAGGAAAAACTGCACGTGTTTCTTAAAAAGTTCCCACATAGAAAAGCCATTGTGGTCAAAAAATGTAACAAGCGCTACTTCATAAGGCAGGGGTGGTGAAATATTCGTGTAACACCGGTAACTATAACGTAAAACGACGCAGTGAGCTTAAAGTGTTCCAAGTTTATTGGTGCCATGTTGAGCTTTTCTTCCGGTTTCCACCTTCAAAGTCATTCCCACTGGGCAACTACTACTTTCCAAGCGATGGCGGCGGTGCCGTTGTAGTGCTCGCGAAGGTCCAAACCTCGCAATAACAGCCAGGCACCGAGTTAAAACATCTTAGTCGGTAGCGACATCCCCGACCTGCTCCATATGACAGGACATGTTACGTAACGTCGGGTGTAAAGAACATAAAGGAACGAATGCTGTTCCTGCTTCTCAAATGAGTCCCCGCAGAAACACTTCCGCAATGAAGGTTCCTCTTCACATATCAGCCACATTGTGACTTCACGTTCCCTGTGGTCATTCCATGGGGGGAAAAAAGTAGTTTGGCTTTATTATCCCTCTTTGCAGGGCCGGCTCAAAGTTCTATGGGGAGCAAATTATTTGGAGGGCCACTTTGGGGATAATCACATCATTAATTATCGCAGTATCACTAAAATCTGTTGTTGCATTCATGACCATGTAAAGAGCATGAAGATAAACATTAATACTTTCAGATAGCACATAAACTATTTAGAGAGCATAGATCAAGTGTTGCACTCGTAAACAGCTACAAAAAATATAAACGCCACATTTTCCAAGTACTTAAAAACATCACATTGTGCAGAAAAAAAATATGATCCCAGAACAGACACAAAAATGCCTACATAAGGATTAAATTACGACTCTGGTAACATGTGTTGACATGGGAGCCAAAGTTGAAAAGTTTGCTTTTGCTGCAGCTCAACTCTTGTCTTTTTCTCCTGAAGAGAAAAATACATTATTTATTCAATAAATACATAAATGCAGCAAATCAGCAAATATAAAAATTGTTTTATTTGGTAACACAGGAACTGATCGGTCGCGCTCTCTCTCTTACAAACACGTTCTCAAACATGAACTTGTTTTACGGTTACTGTGAGAACTCTGTTGATATCAAAGAACAGTATCGATACTTGTAACCCCTGACAATCGTTTTGAACTTTTTTGGATGCCATCTCCAGTTCCTTCACTGCAGAAAACCAAGACACCTTGAAGTTAAATGATTTTCTACAAGAGATCGTTTAGTCAAACAATTCAACAAAATCAAATTTTGTATAAAACTATACATAAACTTCAACGCGTGTACTTTAAATCTAACACCATGCTTAATACTGTAATAAAAAGATTTTTGTTTTGTTTTTTCACAGTAAATAGTCATGCTCAGTTGACAACACAGACCCTAAATGCAAAACTGAGCCACTGTTTGTTTCAGCACTCTCTCCTGCCTTGGGGAACTCCTCCTGACTGATCAGCTGATCAAAAGCGGCGGCGTCTGATTGCACAGAGCTTGAGATGTTAAAATGTTCTTCTTCTTCCTTATATGAGGATTTCTGCTTGGAGACGAAGTCGGACAGGAACCGGGACTGGATCTCAGAGAGGAACTGGTCTCCTTCACCATCTGGGAGGGCTTCCAAGTGTCTTGCCAAAGACATCATCATCTGGAGAGAAAGTTACAACCGTGAGCTCCTGAGAGTGTCCGACTGAAATAAGCAAAGGGTCAAATTCACCTTTTCCAAACAGGTAAGACTGGAGTCTCTGCGAAACAATCTGTCCATCTGGACGCTCCTGCACAACCAGGACAAACTTTTTAGAGAAAAACTACAGCATAATTCACAATCCAACCACTATCTGGCTGCTGGGAATTACAGTACTGATTACCACTGACCCGTGTGCTTGAGCGTACTTCTGGATGATCCACTGAGCCCTCCTCATGGTCTGATCCCAGTCAGGAGAATCTTGTGATGACAGAAAGTTGAATCTGTAAGGCAGCTCTGTGGAGAAACACAGAGAGACAAAGACAGAAAGAGAGAGAGAAAAAAACTCAGCTGGAGGATAGAAACTGTATCACTGACCTACATTGTTAGCTTGATTGCTCAGCCTCTTGATCTGGACTGTTTTGATGTTTTTGAGTTTTGTCTTACTGTGTTGTGAGTGTGTCTTTTACGTACTGTTTTGGCTTGAGGGCTCTTGGCTTTCTTTCACCAACAAGCAGGTGATCTGGGAGTGGGTTGAGGGGTTAGCAGGGTCATACGGGCTCACTATCATCCCGATGAAGGGGGCTCCGCCGCGGGAAAAATAACTCTAGGTGAAAATGAAAAAAATGAAACTGCATGTCCACACGCAAAAGTATTCACACCTCTTCAACCTTTATTATTTAACAGAAGCATTTTATTGGCTTTTCCTGTGATAGAATAAACTATTGCAAATAACTTTCAAAGAGTTCACAAATGAAAAAGTGAAAAGTTTGCTGCTGACATACTGCTTCCATCCAAATGAACCCAACTTCAGCCATTTTGATAATAAAAACAGACAAAAATCAAAGCACATTAACACTTTTGCAGTATCAATCACAATTTCAACTTAGGGAGCGTGAATACAAATAAATGTCACATTTTGCAGATTATAATTTGTAAAAAGCAGTTTGTGTTGGCCAATTCCATAACTTAATAAAGGTTTTGAGGTTATAATGTAACAAAATTTGGAAAAGTTTTAAGTGCCGTAAACTGAAGAGAAACTTGTACAGGTTCTTTTATCGTTTCTGTTTTACCTGGAACTGGTCCTGAGTGTTGATGTCCCGCACTGACGGGTTTGGGTGAAAAGAGGGGTGTGAGTGGTACCAGCCCACAACGCTGAAGCCCAGAGACGAGAGCATGTCACAGGCCTGAGTCTGTGACACCGGGTCCATCTCGCACTGCAGACCTGTGCTCACACTGTTACACGGTTCTGCTGCACAGATCTGCACACAGGACTGTTTGTCAGCCTTTGGAATAATTAGAGTAAAGATGAACTTGGATCACTTTCTACCTTGAGAACTTTCTCTTCCTGGTTGAACGTTCCACCCAGAAGACCAATGACTTCCCCTCTTGATACGTGGGCATGCTGAACACAAGACGACGAAACACGCAAGCACTTCATCGCATTAGAAAGAAAGACGACTCACCTGGCATGTGCTACTGAATGATGCAATGCAAAACAAAATAAGAAGCTGTTTTCTACGAGGCTGTGTTTATAACGTACCATGTCCATGATGAGAAGAGTCTCAGCACACACGATGACCTGGAACGGCTCCTGGAGAAAACCGCAAGTGACATTTTGAGAGGTTTAGTAGTACTCGGGAAACATTACAATAAAACAAAGTAAAATACAACTTTCTTCACAAGCACATTCATAAACAAACATTTAGAAGTAAACCTCGGCCTAAATTGGAGGCTAAGGTGAGACAAATATTAGTACAATATGCGGTTTCTAAGGGGGTGTGGACATTGAAAGCAGGTCACAGTGAGGCTCTTCAGCAGGAGTACTGAGGAAGAAATGGCGCTGCCTTAGCTCAGCTGGAGAAACTTTGCTGTACACGTCCAAGTAAGTCAGTGTATGAAACTGCTCAGCACAATACTGAGCCAGACAGGTGGCTCTAAATTGATGCTCAAATTTGATTTGTCTGATGAGAGATTATAAGAAGTACAGTTCGGGTTTTGAATAAGTCTTTTTGCATATCAATAATCTTAATCTAACAGCAGAAATTACATTAAATATAGAATAAATAGGTCAGACTGGTTGATGCCACTTCAAGCATTCGCCATGCTGAGGTGAGGAAATTTTCATTAGTGCAGATAAAGTGTCTGCATATCATAACGTGACATTAAGTAGCATTGTTACTAGGATGGTTTGATAAAACATGTGTATGCTTGTTTCATAAGTCGTCACTGTATGATGTTCTCATGGTGTAAATCACTTTGAACTGCCTTGTTGCTGAAATGTGCTCTTCAAATAAACTTGACTTAACAGTTTATCTGGAAAGTATGCCTAAAAATGCTACACAATAAATGTTGGAATGTTATTTACTTAAAGCAGAACATCTTCCTATGCCTTTTTAACACAAGTTAAATATGCGGCAGTATGATTAAACAATGAGACAAATGTTCACTGACCTGAACATCTCTCTCGAAAGATCTGCAAGGAATCAGCTGGAATGGATCAAAGGACCTGTTGTAGAGAGATTGATTATATGATTAATCTTCTCCAGCGTTTTATTTGCTACTTGATACATGAATCCATCGTGCTCACCCTCTGTATCGGGATGTCTTGCCGTGTTTAGGCTGCTTCTTCATCTCTTCTCTCCGCTGAGCCAGCTCTTCAGCGCTCAGATGCTGAAAAAAACAGATTCAGCAGAAATGAAGGTACAGATTCAAAGCGGCTGAAGTGCATGTAAGATAGTGTCCATACCTCATAAGTCTGTCCTTCCAAATCTCTAGCATCACACCAGTTCCCCCATATGTCTCGCACACGCCTCTTCCTGGTCCGCTGCAACCAAGCAGATGTTATCTCGGGACTGAAAAGCTCAAGTTTTGTAGCTAATCACAGTTTTCAGGAACCTACCATGCTCTGCAGTCTCTGAGCAAGCTGGTAAGCTTCAAGCACATCCTTGCCCTCCTTTGGCTTGGTCCGGTCCACAACCTTTGGTCGATTATACACCGCTTGCTCTACAAGAAGAATACAAGAGCCCACACACTAAGGAAGGAAAGATAAAAGCAGCAGGAGTAACTGTAGGTCAAAAATTTCAGGTTTACCACAATTGAAATTGATGGCTCCAATGAGTTCGAGGTATGTGTGTATCCTCCCGATGCAGTTCACGTCTCCACAGTTCTTCAGGCCGGGACGGACCGACGTCTTGTTCAGGTATCGGGGCTTGCTCTTCAGCCTAACGATAAACACAAAAGCGTTCAGTTCTTCTCTACAGATGAGAAGAACTGCAGAGAAGTCGGTGTGAGAACGGTCTGGTGCCACCATTGGTCCAGGATGTAGTTCCTGATCTTCAGATATCTCTCGGGAGTCTTCGATGGTCGGCCCTCGAAGAACTCGGGGATAGCTTGTTTCTCGTCCTCTGTGATCGTCTCTGTGTCCATCTCAACTTCCTGCTCGGGGGCCTTCAGCTCTTCCACTTCCTCGTCTTCCTCCTCCTGCTCCTCTGGGTCTCCGTCTGCTCCCCGGACGTCCGGGTTTTCAACAGAATCTACCAACAAAACAAGAATCACTTTTACTGACAGGTGTGTGAGGCTGAGTTCAATGGACTATAAGCCTGGCGGGTCACCAGACTTTTCTTCCCCTTCCACCAGGCTAAGCATTGTTTGTTTATTTTAAATAGGGTTTTTATACACCAGAAACAGTAAAGACGTATTAAGCTAGGTCTATATTTCAAGCATTAAACTCCATTTTTGTAACTTTTCACATTTTTCAAAAACAGGTTTAGCAGGTTTTCTTGGGGAAACCCTGTAAGACACAAACAATCTCTGATGTGTATTACCTGTGGAATCATGGTATTCTTCAATGAGCTGACCGTCGTGTGCCAAGGTGTGACTCTGGCAGCTCTGCTCATCACTAGGATTAGTTGTCAGTTTTGACTCCATCTCTGCTTCTGTCTCAGGAGGTTCTGTCTTTACAACATTCTCATCTGATGTAGTTTTCCTGTCTTCCTCAGCGCAAAACAAATTAAAAGAGGACGGAGGACTTTGCTCAGAAGAAGAGCTCAGGCAGGGTCGGTGCTTCGTCTCATGGATGCTCTCTGACACAGTCGGCTCTTTTTGCTCTTCTGCTGTTGCGTCAGTCTCTGGTTGCCCCGGTAGTCCACCCAGTTCAGTTTTGATGTCCTCCCCTTCACCCTCGCTCAGGTCATCGGTGATGTCTACATCCTCATCATCGGAAAGCCTCTGTATACGGACAGCATTGGTCATAGTGGGCCGAGGAGGCCGCAGCTGCTGCTCTGGACCTGCAGAGGGAGCTGCAGCTCTTGGTTCTGATTTACCCTTTAGCTGGAATCAGAAGAGGAGCCCATAAGAATAGAATGTGTTTATATATGCTTCAGTGTGAAAACAGTCAGGTAGCCTCACCTTGTGTTTGAAGTACTGCCTAGCATAACTCTTGACCTGAAGGACACTTCGGGTGTCCACAAGCTTGGAGATTTTTGTCCACCTTCGACCATATTGAGCCTTAAAAAGTACAAAGAAGAATAACTTACTTCCAAAATACTAAGCATTTTCTTTTTTGAAAGAATAAAAAGAAATAAGAGAGAACACCTCAACTATCACCAGCGGTTGTAAAAAGTGTGCAGAATGTTGTGATGTGAAAATTTAGACATTGATTTAATGTCTAAATTTATGACAGGACGCAGTCATATTACTCACACATTCACTTCAGGCCTATAGATGTTATTGAAACTAAGGTGCTCACCAGTCCCTCCTCAAAAAGTTCTTTTTCCTGTTTGGACCAGCGAGATGAAGCAGAGGCCGAGGTCGAGCTTTTGGTCGGAGATCTGGATAAGAGAAACACGTCGGTGTGATTTTCAACATAAACAACAACAGGCGAGGAAGAACTCTAAAACAAAAAGGTACTTACTTCTTTACTTTGGGCTTCTTATTGGGATCACTGGGCAAAATGTCCGGAATCCTGTCACCTGTCAAATAATATCTTCAAGTAGAGTTAAGTATAGTTGCTTTACCGCTGTTTTGGATCAATTTTCCTACCGGAGCACTAAAAACTAACTTAATAAATTAATTAAGACTAAGTTTTATTTTTCGCTCCTGCTCCATGTTTCACAGATTTAACCTTTATTTTAAGTAAATAACAGCCTGCAAAATTTCAAAACAATGTCTTGCTTTAATCTAAAGCAAATATTTGTAAAGGAACATATCCAGTACATTATAAGAAAGGAAAATCAAATCTGATAAGCATCAATGAGAAAGTCAGCCAAGAGGTCCATGGTAACTCAGAGGCGAAAACTTAACAAATCTATCCTTTATGGGAGAGTGGTGAATTTGTTCGTGAAGAGTTTGTGAAAGAACACAGCAAACGTGTGATAGAATGGTCTAGTCCAAGCCCAGAACCAGACATTATTCACAAGTATTATGCGTCCAGTCTGATTAAGCTTGAGTCATTTTGCTAAATGTACTTCTCTCAATGCCATAAGCCGAGACATGCTCCAAAATGTATGCTTTTCCTTTCACCTCACCATTCTGCTCTCTTTTGAGTTGGTCTTTTACATTAAATACCAAGAAACTCACTGTCGTTTTGAAGTTACAAAATTGAAAACGTTTGCAAGACGCTGTAAGGACTCCTGCATCCCTTACAGCGCATCATCGCTCTCCTTCAGGGCAGCTGTGGTTAAAGGATACTGTTCCTCCAGCAGCATCCTCTCTATCGCCTCTCTGTTCTCCGGGCTGATGGAGCTGTCCAGCTCCCAGGGCTGCAGACAACACACAGCACTCATCACAAAGTCCCACTGTCACACCTGTTGTACAAACAGCGGGATTTCTCGCGGTCCTACCAGGATCCAGGAGCTGGTTCCGTCTGCAGGCTGGATGAACTGCTCCTGGACTAATCCTGCAGCGTCCATCTCTCTGCAACAAGGAAACGGGTTGCTAACACACACCGAAACGCTGAAAATAATCCTCTTAGCTAGCATTCAGCTTCTTACAGCTCCCCCAGACTGCACACGGTCGGAAACGGAGACACTTCTTACCCAACATTACTATCAAAATCGTCTCCCTCGATGTCAACATCCACTTCGTCCTCCATGTTTCAGGACAAACGTAAACAGAGAAGAGAGACAGTCCCGCTCTGGAGGGAAGTAGTTTAGTTTCACCTGCAGCGCCGCCTGGTGGCTGGAAGAGCGACACTGGCGTTTTTCTTGACATTCAACACACAGGTAAATAGAATACCAAGATATTTTTGAAATACAAGTTAAATAGTTGCTCAAGTCGATTAATATCGATAACCATGACCAACAGTTTGTGAAATTTGTTAAATAAATGCACTTTTTTCACTACTTAGTCTGATAAATTTATAAAATAATCAGCAGCAATGTGAGAACTTTTGACATCTCAGACCTGTCAAAAATAATAACGCATCTAGTTTTTATATGTCACGAAGTTCAATAGCTCATAGCAAAGTATCAGAAAGCAGTGTCAGAATAAGATTCACAGAAAACTACAGGAAGTGTAGTAATCAAGAACAATCTATTAATAAATTTAGAAATGTCTTTTTTTTTTCCCATATCTGCAAACATTTTGCTTTCTCAAGTTCAAACATGTTGAATTTCTCAAGCTTCTCTTAAAACGTGTGTACTTCACAAACATGTTAAGACAATTTAAAAAACAAAATTTACTAGCATCTTTTTAAAACCCAAAATTCAGAGACATTTTCCCTTAAAACTGTTCACCCACTCAATAGAACATGGAGGCAAGTGAATAAAATCCAAACACCAGATGAAAGACAACAAAAAAAGGTTTTATTTAGAAAGAATTCACAGTTTCTAATGGCACTACAGTTTATTGTAGAAACTCACTCCTGCTCAAAAATACTGTGCAGCTTTTTGGAGTGAACGCAGAGGAAAAGAGGGGGTGGGAGGAACTGGGAAGAAAAAAAAAGCACTTGACATTTAAAGTAGAAAAACAAAAAAGGCATGAGGAGTCATACAAAGTGCACGTGCATCTCTAGAAACTCTCTGCAAGTGCTTCCTCCTCTTCTGTGTAATGGATTGAAGCAGGTTCTAAGTAGTCTTTTTTTTTCATAATACAAACACACACCCATGAAGTTACCATAATCTCCCATGCATACATCATAAAGGTTTAAAAAAAAAAAAAAAACAAGAGTGGGGAAAAAAAAAAAAAAAAGGATTTTCTCAGCTTGCAGAACTTTGTAATCACATTAATAGTGTTGCAAATCGGATTAATCTTTCTCACGTTCCCTTTAATTCAATGACAGTTCATTTTCTCTTTACATGACACCGGGGTCACTCAGGTGGGGCACACGACGAATAAACAGAAGATAAATGGAGTGTAACGAGAGGGTAAGAACGCCGAAGCAGCTTAGTGACAGAGCATACGCAGATCTAAAACATGAATCCAAGCAGGCTGGTTTTCTGACAGAAGCATGCAGTGAGGAAGTGGCAATGACAACACCAACCACACGGAGCCAATGAGAAACCCTATCTACATGAAGAAGCATTCCTGTAAAAACAAATTCCCCCAAATTCTGCAGGGTGTTTTGTTATCCTGCATGCAGCTTCTTCGCAGATTTTAAAGAGAACTGTGTTCATTGTAATAAACAGGGCAAAGAAAAACAAAGACAGGGTAATAAAGACTTATTTGAACACTTTTCACCTACTTTTAACTAAACAGCAGCTCTGAAAGCAGAAGCAGCAGTCGTCTGATCCAAATAAACCCACAGTCGTACCGACTGAAACCAAATCAGTAGGATGTGAAATGATAGTTGAGAGACAAACACAAAAGGTTTTTTTTTTTTTACAAAAATGTAGCACATAATATAACTAAGGACCCTAGCCAACCATTATGACTGTCTAAACTACTCATTTTTCTGTGTAGCAAACTCACATCGACCACAGAGACCCCACAAAACTGGGAAGCTGGCAAACCAGTGCCTCAATTAGAAAAATCTAGACTTTTAAATAAATAAATAAATAGATAAATAAAACCGGTCGGTCAGAGTCATCTGCCGGGTCCCTGTGGCTGTGCGAGTAAAAGGAGCGTAAACAATCAACTCTGCTTCCGCAGTGTGTTATTACAACTTCACTAGGCTCAAAACAGATGTGATGAAGTTGGCGGGGGGAGGAAAAAAGGAAAAAACAAAAAAAAAGAGGGATATGAAACAATCATGGCTCAGACTGGCTAAAACAAACAACAACAAAAATATTTAAAACAGAACCCAGAGTGCCTCTAGCTTGTTCACATGCATATATATATATATATATATATATATATATATATATATATATATATATATATATATATATCAAATATTAACTTTCTACATGTGAGCATGATTATCATTGGCCCAGCCCAACTATCCAAAGTGGGGGAATGATTCATTATGGTCTTGTAGGATGTGCGGACTGCTGCTTCTGTAACTATAGTCTGAGACTAAACAAAGACAAAAAGGATAAATAAATGTAGGTTATTTTCTTCACTCAGCTCCTGTGGTTGGTTTCAAACAGTAATGGAGATGCAGCGAGAGCATCAGACAGGTTCACAGTAAGATTATAAACACTGGTCCCATTCAAACACCTTCAGTCAAATAAGGATAGATGAGAAAAAACAAGAGATAACACAAGGAAAAAATGATGAGACAAAGTTGTGTGCTCCACATTTCTTCTATAATGACAATTTTTATCCAACACCAACATTCTAATACTTGTTGAAGGAGCGCCGAGTGGAGGTCGGCGCCTGTCTCGCTGTGCTCAGAAGAGGCGGAAAACATAAACCGATGCTCCGCTGTCTGGGGACAATGTGCTTTTTTTTTCCCAGAAAAACAAAGTCTTGTACCAAATGTGTGCTGACGTGTCGCTCCCTCTCCCGCCCACAATGTTTCTCTCCTTGCACATCAGCAGCTCTCTAAGCGTTAAAGTTTAAACAATTAAAGGTTCCCAACACACATAAAGGCACGTAACCGTAAACGGGTCTTTGACAAGAGTGGATACGGTCTGGATGAGCTAATGCTGCTAAACTCATTTTAACTTCACCTGCGCGTCTAGGGACACTCATGCGAATTGTGGTTCTTTGGGATAAAGTCATTCTTTTTTGTGAGCAGGGTGCCGAGTAATTGCAAAGTGTGGCGTTTCAGACATGTCCGGTGACGGCGGTCACCCTGATGGTCCCAACGCTCATCTCTTTGTTTCCCTTCATAAGCTGCTGCAGGCTGGGCAGAGAGTCGACGCCTCCCCCTGGCACGGGGGGGAACTGCAGCTCTGTCTGACGAGACTTCCGCCGCTTCTGGGAGCGCCTTTCCTGACGGGATTTGGCGGGAGGCTGGGTGAGGGGGAAAGAAAGATCGTGGCCGTTGCACATGCCGGCGGTGGGGCGGATGGAAGGAGGCGGCGGGAGGCGGCTAGTGTACGACTCCTCGGAGTGAGTGGAGGAGCTGCAGCTGCTGGTTTCAGAGGGGAACTCCTTAGATGTCGCAGTGGGCAAAGACGACACCTGGTCTGTGGATGGAGGAGGATGCGATGCTGGGGCAGGGGCAGGAGCAGGAGGGAGAGGCGGAGGTGGTGGAGGAGCAGCAGGTGGGGGAAGCGAAGCAGGGAGGCTCGAATGGAAGCCGTTGCATTTCGGATCGCCGTTTGTGAGGGGCAGAGAGGGATCAAACGGCTTCAGGGTCTCAACTTTGTCCAGAGATTTTGTTTTGCCACGTTTTTTCTGCAGGATGAAACACAACAGAGAAGGAAAACTTTACTCTAAAATTCAGAGGAAGAAAAGATACATTTACAGGTGCATTTCAACAACATACTAATCGAAAGCTGATTTAATTTCAGTAATTCAATTCCAACTCATAGATTATGCACAAAGTGATATTTCAAGAGTTCATTTCTCTCAAATCTGATGATTATGGGTTATAGCTAATGAAAATCAACATTCAGCTTATGGAGGATTATGAAACAAAGCCAAATCAACATTTTGGGGGAGATTCACAAGGTGGAGACGGCAGCTGCAGTCTTCAATAGTCACCAGAGACACAAACTATCACATTCCTTGTGCTGAGTCACTCCTGAACCATTCGTTAACTAAGGTCCCAGAGACTGGCAGGACAGAAAGTTATTTGAGGTTCAGAGTGAAGTTTCCACAGTCAGTAATGTCATCTGTGTTTTCTCAAAGTAGACAAGTATCAGGAGATTTTAAGAGTACATCATGTTTCCCTCTGTTGACAAATTTTATGGCGACTCTGATCACATTTTCCAGCAAGACTTCATACCCGTTCACACAGCCAAAAGACACAATATCTGGTCTGTTGCTCATGGTATCAATGTGATAGATTTACTAGCAAACTGCCCCGACCTGAACCCAACGAAGAATCTATGGAGTACTGATAAGAAAATGATGCTTACTCACACCAGAGCAAACCATGCAGTTGAGCTAAAGGCTGCTATAAAAGCAATATGGTGCTTGTGTGACCCAACAAACCAATAAACAGAAACAAAAGCTTGAAATATCTCACTCTGTATATCAGATCTATACAATATGGACCTCACATTCACAGCATAATTACTGAAGCACAGTAATATTTTGATATTGCTCTAAATTACTGAGATGCACCTGTAATAATTACAATAATAATAATACAAGACCACATCAAAGTTTTTAGCGCTAGACACTGATGGCACACAAACTGGTCAGAGCATGAGGGGAATGTTTACCAGGGAATAAAGGGAGAATAGGTTCTGGAAAAAGATCATGTTAATAAAAATACTTGTGCTGTACTGTCAAATCTCTGCCTCCAGAAATGTGTGAGATGATTAAGATGTGAAGTAGCAATAATAGTGTCAGTATAGGAGGAGGTGTTTATGGACTGAAACTCAAGACATCACCGTATCCCTCAACTTGGCAACTCCAGGGACATTAGAGATCTGACCAGGAAGTGATTCCCTGCTTTACGTAACACACCCACTGTACACACCGACTGACACTAGAGAACACACAGCACTTATGTAAGGCGGCCGTCACGGCCGGCAGACACTGTACCTTTTTCTCTGGAGAAAACCTTAGAGGTTCTACAATGAACAAGTCATCTGGACCTACTGGGGAGGGGAGAGAGG